TGACCAGATAAGGACTGACAAATATTAGAAGGCATGATGAGCATTCAGTCATAGATTTGTTTAAACGCTGTCTGTGCGTGTTCTCTCGAACTTTAGTTTTCTCTTCATTGTCGAACTAATCAGCGTTCTGCCAGCAAACAGAATTATCAGAGCAATTATCCTAAATTATTAAATTTACCAGAATTCTTTGTTTTTTCTGAAGGAGTCAGACTTCAATAAAGAAGATAACGGAATCAGCCTAGAGGAGTTACACAAAACAAACGGGTGGAAGATGTTAATGGAGAACTTGGATAAACATTTCGAGCGAAAAAACTTAGACAGTCAATGAGAAATTATGTTATTCTCAAGAGGCCAGTACTTTATTTATTTATTTTTTGTTTGCTATCAATTACGGTGGAACACTCGTTGTGTGTCAGCAGCCATTTTGTTTCTTAGAATGTTCGCAAGACTTTCAATTCCTGTTTTTAGCTTCATTACCTCCGAAAGGGTGGTTGGATGCTACCTCACATGAATTCCAATTCCCTCGCAAAGAATTCATCGACCCTAGGACAGACTACGGTCTCTATGTTGCATAACGTCGGAGCCTTCATGACGGTAATGGAGCTAAAAAACCCTTCTTTGAATCTGATCTCTGACCTCTTGTTTCCTATTCCTGTACCTATTTCCTGTTTTCACTTCATATGTTCCGTCGGGCAAATGGAAAAAATTTAGAATGATAGCTCTCGCTAATTATTGGATTAAGATCCAAATACCACCAAAGTAAGAAAACAAACACACTCGCGAGAGCAATGAACGACCTTCCATTATTTTTATGACGAAGCGAAAGGAATGAAATTTTTAAATTGTAACAGTAAAAATTTAGCTCATTCACATCAAGGAAAACAAATGAAACCGAAAAATGTATCAATCAACTCTAAAGGCACTGCAAAAATTCCGCCTGAAGATTGGCTGGTCTTCATAAAGTTGTATTCACTGATGTAGCAGAATTTAGACGTGTAAAGTTTCTACTCGCTTAAAGCTAGTAGGTTTCGAAATTTGGAAACCCAGCGGAAAAATTGCTTTGATTGGTTTCTCATTTTCAAAACTCAGTTTCAAAGGGCATGTCCGTGTTACATATATTAAAGAAAGATGAGGTTTATCAGTCCTTACGTTTCCCATACTTCCCTTCTATTTATGGCAGACATTTTAATGTGGGAAAGTAAGGACAGTAAGGCATCTAGGCTAAATATTGGAATGTATCTGCTTGTCATTGGAGATGTTGCCATGATAACGACATAAATCTAAAAATTGACACCTAAAACAGAAGCCTTATTACATCGTTAGCCACACTGGTAAATATCTCGAGGGAAAAATTTGAGATCAATTAACTAGATTTGCTTCGTAACTCGCGCTCTGAAAGGAGGTTCATTTGTAAATACCCCTTAAAATGAAAACTTGCCTTATTCTGACTCAGGTACTATAGCTGACTACTTTCTCTGCCTCACTACAGTTAAGAGGCAGTATTTTGAATTTCTAGCTGCACTTACAATTCCTGGCTTGCTATCCTTTTAATTAAATCCTACTTTTTTGACTTGTTACTCTAAGGAACAGAAAAACTTTCATTTGCAAAAACGGTGAACTTTTCAAATGCCTTAAATAGTAAAAAATGGTGTCAAATGCCATTGTTTGAAACGAGTATTATGCAAAAACTAATTTTTCTCTTTTTTCCAATACAGCTTAGAATACAATTGTTCATTTGAAGTTTCTATGCAGAACAAATGATGATATACTGAGTTGCAAAGTAGATTTGATACCTTGAAAGTCCCGTTGTTTTCGAGAAGTAACCTGAAAACAAGTTAAAGGCGAAGTTATAGTGTAAAAGCCTGCAAAGCTGTGTAACATCCATCATACAAGACTTATTACTCTTAATTAAATCTAATTAAGTGTAACGACTAAGTTTGAAGTGACACATATCTCAGACTTGCAGTGCACAATCCATTTCTTCAAAACGCTGCTTCAAAAAATCGTGTATATATAGCCATTTTAACCAAAGGATTAAGTCATAGAATGTTAAGGACGGACTCTGAGGATCAGTCTACCCGAAATGTTCGCGTAATCTGAAGACTTGTGGGCATAGTTTACTCGACATTTAGACAAAGCACATCCATATTTTTTTTCAGACAGATCTCATTGAATATGTTTTGCATACTAGAATAGATTAGTATAACACCTTGCCACGACCTGCCAACCTCTTACGCAGAGTGCAGGGTAAGAAAATTAAAAGCAAGGATTACATTCTGGTTTAAGACCAAAAATGTGCAATTTATATATTACTTTCCAATACACTTCATTTAGCAATTTCTCGTCAATATTTTCTGGATCATATGAATCAATGCATTTTTTTGATATGTCCCTAAAGCCTTCGAAAAGAAGTGAACATCGAGATAAGTTTCTTTTCAGAAGGGGAAAGTCCTCTTTATCATCGGAATCTTGTGAAGTTTCCTCAGGAGGAAGAAGCTCGTTAACAGCACAGTACTCTGCGCATGCTCCAAGAAATGTGGAATGTCCCTCTCCCCAACAATCACCAAAGAAGATCATTTTACAGTTTTTACAGGTATCTTTTTCGGAACGATATTCGTCGTCGTCGCTTTTCTGTTGAAATGCTTTAAAAATCCATCCCGTTTTCTCTAGTTTCAGAGGAGCAAAATGTAAAATTTTCTTTCTAAGAGTCCGTTTCAGACGGATAATTCTGTTATACAAGCAGATAGGCCTTAAGAAATGACTAACTGCTATTGAAGACCCAATAAAATGCTTGTTATCGAGTGAAATCTTTGCTAACACTTTGGGCTTGAAGGTGTTTCCTCTTTCAAGTTTCGTTAACCAGTAGTTTGCGAGTTCAAAAACACGGTCGGCATGAGCTTCAGTTCCTTTGTCATCATCTGGCGTTTCCGCGAGTGTGTAAACACTGAACTGAAAGATAACAAAATACAAAAATTTTTTTTATTGATTAACTCTTTGTCAAGATATCTATCTACAAGCCTGGTTGAGGCCACTTGCTCTCGCTTGGACATCTGAGAACCAGGCCAACTGCCTAAGAGTCATTAATATCAATCACATAGTTCTATATGATAAGAAATGTTATAATTCTAAAGCTTAATTCAGGTTCTAAAGTTGGCTACGATGATTCAAAAAAACATACCGGGGAGTTACATTCTCAAAGGCTTTGATAAGGGCTTCTTTTTAGTGGAGCTAATTGCTGGAGGGAAATTTGTAGTTCAGTTGCAGAGTTTACAGGAAATAAAGTTGTACTGTTATAAAAACTATTTTTTTGCTTGTTTACTATGTTCGTCTGGATGTAGAACAAGCCACTTCTGGTTCCACTGGAAACAGTTGGTTATTTTTTCCCTTCGACTCTCTCTCTTGGGAAACATTGAGATTCTAGGAGGCAGATATTATTGTCGCAATCGGTTATTGATTTGGGGTCTAATTTGGGTTGCGGGTTTGAATGTTCATGGACTACAACAGTTCCTCATAGGTGGGGTTTTTGAGGCAATTGGATTTTTCTTTTAGCGTTAAATATAAGCCCTCTCGACAGTTTCGAGATATTTTCTGCTTGGTTGTTGATTGTTTAGAGCGCGGTTGGGATGGTTAAGAGTTAAACGGCCCTAATTACGTGTGATTATTTACTTACAAAGTTTAGCCGTTGCTCAACAAAACTGCGACTGTTAAACAAAACCGCGTCCTAAACAACCCTCAGTTAAGCTGAACCTTTTGCCTCAAAATTTGTTTTTGTGAACAGCGTCAAGAGAGCCAAAAGACAACAGTGAAAGGAAATTTATTCAATATAAACCAACCCTCTTATAGACAAAGCCTGAGGCCCTGAATGATTGCGCAAAACCGTGGTTGGGTTAAACCTCTTGAAAACAATGGGCCCTAAGTGTTTACTATTCACCTCCACTTCCGTGGGTAATTGTCAATCATTTAAGGATACGGTAGACCTTTGCGGGTGTCTTAGTTATGTAAATGTGCTCTCCGGTAAAAGTTTTTTCGTTTTAGTTTGATCTCACCGTTGATCAATCAAGGCACAATTGCAACAATTCGAAATGGACAATGTCTGTTTGAGCGAGTCAATTGGTGGCCCACGATAAGCCGTACCCTCCCCCCACCCCCAAGGAGAAACGGAAGAAAGGGAACGTTTACGAAAACCTGACACCAATCGTATTATATGATGTCACTCTTGTGCACGAAAATAAAGATGAGTTTTCATTGGTTAACCATTTTGTCGATTATTTCGTGAATTCTGATTGGCTAGAGTAGGTGGTTTTCTTTCATACTGATGGACAAGATGGTGAAAAGAGTGCTTTCACGGTTAACCTTACGGACAACGGCCATCTACGACAAGGATTTTAAGGCAAGTTTTCACGACCTTCCTGATAGAGAAATTTTAAGAAGAGCAGATAGCCATCGATATGTCTTTCGAAGGTTATGATGTCTTCGTTTCGCTATGGAGAATCTCAAATATATCAAATCGCGCCAGTGATCGATCACCTATTTTCTGAAGAAGAAACCATTTACTAAATTTATTGTGCCGTCCGTTAAAGCTTTCATGCACTCTTTCAATAGACTTAGGCCAAGAGGATCGTCCGCCTTCAACTCTCGGTCTTTCAGTTGTAGACGTAGCTGCAATATACTTACTCAGTTACATAACGATGGTGTAATAGTTCCTTGTTTTTAAAAAGCCAGGAACCACAAAATTTTGTTGATCGGGTTCCAGGTCGGCGTAGAGTCAATCATCCACGGCAAATACGTACATCCATTATAATGTACAAGCCTCTACACAGAATGCTCGATTTGAATGTCGATTTGTATTTCGAAATGACGTTACTTCCCACGGATTAAGCAATTCCGAAAACAAATTGACTCCTCACAGCACCAATTATTTGAACTCGAATTCGAAGTTCTCTCTACAAAGGTGCTGAGGTGTGGGACAGCTCATCCCAAGATCTGCGTTCAAACGCAAACTACCTCATTACAACTTCGAAGGAGTCACGGCATCCTTGCAAAGCAGCCTTAAGACATGAAAGCTTTTTACTTATTCGATTAGTTAGTTTAGCTAGCGAGAAAAAAAGCTAGAAAACCCTCAATGGTTCACCTGAAAATTTGTAAGCTAATGAAACATAATCGAATTCATAAACTGCTTTTGTGAAGTGAGGGCGTCATTAATATTCATTAGCCTTTCGACCTCGAAAACAAGGGATCGGAATTTTTATTCTAAAGCAAAGCCATGAAGGCTGATTTCCATGAATAGTGATCTTGCCCAATATAATGAGAGAATGTTTTCTACATGTGAATTATAGCTCCCCGACATCGAAAATACCTTCGCCTTATAAAAATTGTCAGATGTTCATAACATTAACTAACGGATTAGAAGAAAATATTTTTCCGGGAAGCACTCTAATTGCATCTTACTTCGCAACACTTTGATTGTCGAAAGTACACGTTTAGGCTTGCTTTAGGTTTGCATTTCTTCGGCCTTTGATTGGTCCATAAAACTCACATCATCCTCTTAACCAATCAGACGCCAAACTAATCGCCTTCATCACAATTGGCTGTTGTAATTAACATGGTTTTGTTTATATGAAATTTAATTGAAAACTGCTCTGGTACAGAAATACGATTTTTTCAGTTTGAAAACCGCTTCATCAATTATTTAATCGGGTCGCCTTCTTAGTTTTCATGAATCTCGTGTTGCTTATGTCGACAAAATCCAGCGTTTGATTAATTGGTTCTTGTTTTCATTTTCATTTAGACTCTAACCGATTTTTCCAAGATGTTAACACTCTTTCGAAGCTAAGAACTTTGTATTTGTTTACAATACACCGTTTCAAGAGTTGTTGATCACTCACTCCAACCTCAATTTTCTTCCCTTGTGTGGCAGCAGTAGCATTCGCGTTTTACGATATTTCAGTATCAATTATGTATCTTTCTGGCCGGTTCCCAACTCACCATTTCCAAGAGTAAGCTTCCGGGGTCGATAACAAATTCTAGAACCTTTTCCTTCTTCTGGTTTTCCCCCTCCTGATTTTCTTCCTCCTGATTTTCTTCTTCCTGGTTCGATATTAGATTCAGATCAGATTCAAATTTAGCGAGTTCTCTCTCCGTCTCCGTCATCGACGACTCTGCTACTCCGCAGTGAAAGTGCAGGTGGATTGTTAAGCTGCGGAGGATATCTCTTAAACAAATGTCTAATTCGTGTGTTGATTCCTCACTTTCTATTTTTTTCTTGTAGTCTTCTCTAAATGGTTTTAAGACCTCCCCACACATTTCACTGACATCATCCTCAATTCTGTTATTCAGTTTCGTGATTCCTCTAGCTAACTGCTTCATGTACTGAGCCGGAACACTTTTTTCATATGGTCTCTTACCAGCCATTTGGAACCGTTGTGTGTCGTAGCAAATTAAAAATACTGTGTACACATTAATATTTTTCTTCAGTTTGCGAACAGGCGGTTGCAGTTTGAAACTTACGGAGAGTGTTTCAAGTCGGGGACAGAAATTTAAAGCTATTGAACAGCACCGGAATCGAATCAAACGTCGTTAGCCGCCGAAAAACCCTGTTTATTCCTAAGTTTCACTTAAGCATTCGTCTACCCTCCCGCATCTTATTATGGTTAAACAAGTGAAAAATAATATTTTGATTGGTGTAGCAAATCCTTTTGACGCCCCGAAAGCTAAACAGGTGCAAAAACAGACTGAACTAAAAATATTACCCACCTTTTCTTTTGAAAAATGTCGGTCAGAGAATGCGAAAAACTTAAACCTTGGCGTTCGATTGAAAGTTTTGATACGAAGCCAACCATACCTGGAGTAGCCAGTGATCCTTACAATTTGCGCAAAGGACAGGTATGTCAGTTTGGTTTCTGTGCGGTTAAATTAAATTCGAATTAAAAAATATTTAGCTCTCAATTATTTACCTATCGAGCTCCGTCTTCAATAAAAGTATAACGGTTAATTTGTTATCGACTGAGTTGAAAACGTAAATTGGCCACCGTAAAGAGTTTAAGAGAGTGTCTCTGTAAGAGCGGTCCGGTCGATTTTGCTTGAGACACGGATTTCGCTCGTTTCTTGTGTGTTGTAAGACATTCATGTACCTATACTAAAACAACAATCAGTTTGATCGGATCTCTTTATTTTTCAGAGTTTTACGGAAATAAAATTTCACTCGAGCAAAGGCTTGTCGTGACACTTTTCAGGACTTTAATTTCATACAACTTTGGAGGACAATTTACAAAAAACTACGGAACTCAGAAAAAAACAAATACCACAGCCATATATATTAACTTTATCTTATCTATCGAGGCGACTTTCGCAGACATCACGTTTCAATCAAGGAAACAGGAAGACTTGAATGACACCTTATCGGTTCGCCAAAATCGCACACGCCAAAACCGATCAGATTCAAGGTAAATTTTTGAAAAAGTGAGGCGTTCTTAGCTGATACAACTAACTCCGTGAACTTAC